CTTGGATTTTTCGAGGCATGTTTGGATATTTTTGGATGGAAGGACTAGTCAGTTATTTAACATGGAAACTGAAGAAAAGGGGGTTCCCAAAAGATGATTTTACCTGATTTTACCTGTTAAATTTCCTGGATTTGATAAGAAAATGGAGTTCCCAAAAGAAAATGGGCTTCCCAAAATGTTAACATTTTACTACTGGATATGTCCTTTTCTCGGATTCCATGTCAACTTCTTGGAAACTCCACAGTCTGTTGGAAATCCTTGGGTCGTTCATTCTCGCGCTGTGAGTTGGAGTTGGAAATTATGTGTGATCAAGAAATGACCGATCACAGTGGGTTTACCCTCTGGTAAACAGCCACATAACGAACTGGAAAATCACCATTTTGAATGGGAAAACTCACTATTTCAATGGCCATTTTCAATAGCAAACTCTTAGTTTACCAGAGGGTAAGCGGTATACGTATTCTCAAATCAATCTGAGCCCAGAGAAGAATTTTCCAGAAATATTGTGGATGGAAGAAATCCTGCACCAGTTGGCAGTTGGTAGCTCTTGGCAACTATGAAACAGTGATGATGGGATATGGGATAAACATGGATAAACCATCAACTGGTGCAGGATTTCTTCCATCCGCCATCCACAGCTCAATGTTTCTTCCAACTGTCTTGGGATAGCCCCAGCAGTGTGGGGCGTTTCGAGGCTGCGAGTGCGGCACCCATGGCAATGCAGACTGTGCAGAGCTAAGATTTGGCATGACCCAATCAATGGTTGACAGTGGTTGACAGTGGTTGACTGGTCAGAATCTTTTGGAATTGGGACCTTTTTTCGGCGGGTCAATGATTTTTTCGTGCGCCGAGTTTTGGGGCAGATTTTGATCAATTTTAAAAGTGACTCAAGTTTCAAGGGTCTTGTTGCTGCGGATCATCCAAATAAGTTCATGTGCAGATATGGGATGTGATGGAGGCTGGGATGAAGCAATCTTCAAGTTTTTTCCTCTTCGATTCTTGTTGCCAAGCCGTGACGCAACGTGATTGCCTTGGTACCACGGACTTGCAGCGCTTCTCAAGCAAGGCTTTTATTGGGAATTTTATTCATCATTTTGGTGGAGATGACTATCCCACATAACAACACGGTTTTGTTGAAAACTGCGATTAACACGATTTCACACATATTCATACGGTTTCAACAAACAACATGCCCAACATGGTGCTGTTTTTTCGCAGTGAAACCAGCACTTTTGAAGCACTTTGATAGATTGTTTGCCAACCATTGCCATTTTCCAAGACTCATCTTGCCACCCAAAAGTGCTTTCACCAGCCATCTTTCACTTTGCCGTCGCCAAGCGCTCAAATCATGATCCAAGCGAACAAAGCCACGGTGGTCACGGAGTTTCACAAGCAAAGTTTAGAGGTGCGAAACATGGAACTGGACTTCTACCTCTTGGTCTTTGAACGGATCTCCACCATTTCAGCCCTACTGGCGGGTTTTGCCTCAACAGCCATTCAGGTTGAGGTTCCGGAAGGATCTTCCCCCATTTTGAAGACTTGCTATCTGCTGTTCGCGGCTACAGCACTGGGAGCGCATCTGCTGGTGGTGGTGGTGTGTACCATGTGCACCATGTGGGGTCCCGGCCATGCCCTACGTGGCCGCGATGCCAACTGTGTGGATCATGCTGTGGCTGTCTTGGATGCAGCTCAACGACAGATGGAGATGTTCTTCTTCTTGGGCTACTGGGTGGTTTCAGAATATAGTAATCCTCTTAGTAACCCATAGTTACTTGTAAAAGATAGAAAAGTAACTCATCAAAATGAGTAGGGGCTTACTTTTCTATCTGGGGGTTACTATAAAGACGATCAGTATAAAGCTGTTATCTTTCATCCCACCATTTGGGATGATTCTAAGCAAAAAACTTTTCAGTTGCCAGATCACCAGATCGCCAGGTTTGATTTCCTACTTCCTGAGCTGCATCTTCCTGGTCTGTTTACTCTTCGATCTCAAGGGCCGTATCTTGGTGTGTTCCATCTTCCTCCTGACCTTGATCTGGCTCGCCAGGAAGGTGCTTCGCATAGGGCAGGTCCTAAGGCCCGGAAGGTGGACCAGTGGCCACATCCACGGCAGCGCCGTGAAGATTGGCGAATTGATGGGAGATGATGCGCTCACGGCGGAGCACGGGGTGTCAGCCAGCTTCGCCACGAATTTCTGAGGAACGATTTGGATGGTGGGATGGGAACATAAATTGGAATAAACGGAATCCATGGAAAAAGGCCACATCACATTTTGACATAGCCTCTGGTAAACTAACATAAACTAACAGTTTGCTATTGAAAACGATGAAACATATCATTTATACTCGATTTAGTCATCAAACATGGTAATTTTCCAGTTCGTTATGTGGCTGTTTACCAGAGGGTAATCTCCATTGATATCCTATAAATATCCCATATCTGGTGAAAATTATGGCTTCTATGTCCATGATTACCCTCTGGTAAACTAACATAACTATGGAAAATCCCCATTTTTAATCGGTAAATCCACTATAAATGGCAATTTTCAATAGCTATGTTAAATTACCAGAGGGTATCCCATTCTAGTCTTTTGACCATGACAGGCCGCGCGGACCAGCTCTCTGGAGCCTCTCTGGAAGCTTTGCTGAACCCCCTGAAGGCGATGGGCTTCAGTGAGGGCTAACGAACCAGCAGAATTTGTTGGTTACGAAATCCATTCAAGACTCTCCAATTTCTGGGCCAATAGTGTTGAACCACACCCATATATACATATATAAGACAGAATATATATATATATATCCATTTGATGATGTCTCAAACCTGGATATCTCATTCCATCCCTTGTGAATCTGGTGAAAATTCATCCCTTTTTTTCGCCATTGAAATGGCCGTCATAAAAAAGGCGTATCGGCATTTGGCACAGAGTCATCATTGGGTGTCAACCCACCATAGATAAGACGGGTATCCAAATTGATACAAATTGTCCTATACTGGTATCAAGACACCATAGATTGTCATAAATTGGTGTGAATGTCATGGGGATAATCCACTGATTAGTGGATTAGTGTGCCAACTTGGATAATGCGGAGGATGATCGGCTCCACAATGTCGTCGAATGGAGGAGTCTGTGCAAGTGTTGGACAAGTGTTTTTAGTGGAGTGTTATGATTTGACCTTGGATTTTCGGGAATGTTGGTTGATGTTGGTTGATGTAGACGTTATAAATCCTCATTCTTTCCAGGCAATTCATTACCCATATTTGGCTTTGATATTCAGAGGTATTACTGTATTACTAACCTATAGTTTGCAGAAAACTCACATGGAACCCGAGATGGAGTTGTTTGTCTTGAAGTGAAAAAGATTGAAGAGAAGGAATCCTTGAGGTTTGCAAAGCAGGCAAACACATGACACCAGCACCATGATTTTCTGTGGGTCCAAAGCGAAGTTGATAAACAATGGTAAACACCCACGGATGCTCTGCAGTGCGGTTCAAGCACTTGCCTATTTTTTTAAATGTTGAATGCACATACACGGCAAGAACATGTTGACTTCAACAGTGACAATGCTATACACATATCATGCTAAGAACAAGGTTGATGCAGTTGATGATTATTTATGCATGATGAACATGTTCATTGCAGGATGTCGGATATACACGGAACCCAACTGCAACTTTCAAAGTCACCAACGTGTAGATCCTGCAGCACCAGGGTTGTGCCATTGTCAGAAACCAGCCTGGCTCAGTGTGGGCCATAGTGCCACAATGGAAACCCTATCCTTTGACATCAAACATACGATGGAAGAAATCCTGCATCACCTTGGATGGTTGAAACCCCATCAATAGTGGGATAAATTTACAGTTTACCAGTTTGCCAATTGGTGCAGGATTTCTTTGACATCAAAATACATGCAACATATGAAACATATGAAACATCAGCCATGAACAGTATGGATCCGAACATGATGGGCATGTGGGGAATGGGTGGCGCCTCAGCAGCAATCAATGGAGGAGTCCATGGAGCCACTGGTCGACCAGACCCATTGTTGGTCACTGTGATAACCCACTGTGATAACCCCTCCAAAAACGTTGGCACATTGAATTTTCCTATGTTTTCTTGATTTTTCTTGATGATAGTGTGTTGCAGCTATGGGAAACATATGGAAAAATTGTAACTTTTCGTGCTATGCTACAAGAATCCCAAGCCCAAGCTGCGCAGCTTGAGCCGCTTGAGCCGACAAGCCATTTTTTCAAGTTATGGACCGTCACCAGGTATGCAAGCCATGGCTGCCATGAACAACATGGCCATGAACAACATGGCTATGATGGGTTGTGGCTGGGCAGATGGAAGATGCTGGGAAGATGCTGAAAGATGGATTCTGGGGAACCCAGAGGATTTTTTTTGAACGGGCACAAGTCAGAGAGGTTATGAATGTCACCTTCAGATTTTGGGGAACCCATTCAGAATTGAGGTCACCTGTCACTTTTTTTTTTGTTTTTTTGGGACGTTTTCTGAGATTCGCCCTTACCAGGTGGTTGGAATCCGCCGCCCCGACCTGTGTTTTTGTTAGTCGGGATTGGTGGGACTGGTCGAGAATGGTCATGGCTTAAACATGCTTAAACCATCCATAGATACTCGTAGATACTAAACATGATCCATAGATACTCATGACTCATAGATACTCATAAATTTAATTTTTAGATACTCATAGATACTCATAGATACTCATAAATTGATGGCCTGACGAACTTGACCCAAACGGCCCAAAGTTGAGATTCAACTTCCTGCCCTCCAGGGACACAAATTCAAGGTATGGGACATAGGTCAGCAAGGGGCCATTAGGCAGCAAATTCGATTTTTGGGGTTGTTGTTTGCAACCATCCATATCTGGAGTACCTTCATTTCGCCCATCCCATACCCAATCACTTTTTTTAAATCCATCCATCCTACCTTTTTTGGGAAAATGATGGCTACACCAAGAAACCATCTGGCTGCCAGGGCCATGGCTATGGCCGGTATGCAGGCCGTCAGGGGCGTGGCTTAATCAAATCATTGGGTAAACCTTACCTGAAAATGATGGGAAAATCCATTGGAAAAAAAATTCCAAACGACTGATTTTTCCAATCCATTGGAAATTGTCCATCGGCAAACACATCGAATCATGTTTTCCAACAGGAAAAAAGAAGCATTTGGGTGTATAGTGGTAAGTGGTACCAACCGCTTAGTACTACATATTCCCAGTAAAACTTTTGGCCATGGCATGCCATGGCGAGTTTTGATGCATAGGTTTACCCTCTGGTAATTTAACAGTTGGCTATTGAAAATTGTGATTTATAGTGGATTTTCCCATGAAAAATGGGTATTTTCCTGTTCGTTATGTGGCTGTTTACCAGAGGGTAACCAGTTTCCACTCCCTTCTGTTGGACTGTGGGGAGCCATAGAAGCCATGTTGGAGACGTGGCGCCTGGCGCCTTCCGCAGGCCTCGGTTCCCTTGACGAGCCTAGCAACTTCCAGTGTGGTTGCCGAAGGATCAGGACCAGGGGCCGAAAAAAAAAAACTGGGTGACCTCAATGATGGGTCATTAAATGTCCCCATTGAACATCACCCAACCATTAGGTATATGGTCTATAATGGCTACTATAAGGTGATGTCCAATATACCCAAAATGGGACAGTTACCAACCACTGTCAATGGTAACGAGTACTTGCTGACGAAGAATTCTGGGCATAAGCTTTGTGATACATGTGATAAGCCTAAGTTGGGATATAGCACTTTAAGGTCTTATCCACTACTGGAACTGGCCAAGTACTACCAGATCCTTCTGCCCAGTGCCGGCTTTTCACCTGATCCTTGGTTTCCTGATTGATGGTAGCCCAAAATCATCCAAAATGGATTGTGAATGGGAAAAAACCCATGGTTTGGGGTACCCATATTTCAGGAATCCTCCATATGTGCAGATATATATATGACATTATCCGCAATTTGGGGAAGAACACCCTCATCTCTATGGATTTGCCCCGAGTGGCTGTTCACATCGCTGTAGGAATCTTCATTTTTTGCCCCCCAAAAATTACGATTTTTCACAGGTTTCAGCATCGATTTGTCAACAAAAACCCACAGATCCTTCCTGCTGTTGGTCAAATTTCCCCCTACCCTCTGGTAAACTAACATAGCTATGGAAAATCACAATTTTTAATGGGAAAATCAACTATAAATGGCCATTCTCAATAGCTATGTTAGTTTACCTTCCCCTATTTTTGTCCGCCCGAGGCGAGGAAGGTGCCCGGAGCAAGGCATCCGGAGCCCCGCCAGCCATTCCGCCAGCCGCCCTGCCCGACGCTCCCACGGCACCGCCGCCTGCGCCGCCTGCGCCGCCTGCGCCGCCTGTGCCTGCGCCGCCTGTGCCTGCGCAGCCGACACAGGTGGAGCTCGCTGGGACCTGGCCCAAGATTTCAGCTAACCCTCTGGTAAACTAACAGTTTGCTATTGAGAATGGCCATTTATAGTTGATTTTCCCATTAAAAATGGTGATTTTCCATAGCTATGTGGCAGTTTACCAGAGGGTAACCCTCTGGTAAACAGCCATAACGAACTGGAAAATCACATGTTTTCATGGGTAAATCAACTATTTCGACTGGGGCATTTTCAATGTGTGAAATTTCCAAATGATTCAGATGCTATATTTTAAGGTGGAAGTCTTAGAATTCAGATTGGTGATGGTTTGACCCCTGGTGGTTTGAACCAGTTTTCAGTTTTTTCTACGGAAAACAAATGGGATGATGATCCCAAGTGACAAATATGTTAAATATGTCTTTTCTTGGGTTGAAACTGCCAATCAAGAAAAATTGACCCAATACATTTGGCTTTCTGACTAAATCACTTTTGAGAATTGGTTGATTTGTAGGAAACCTCCACTGGGGGATCGTTTAGGGGTTGATATGCAAGAAAGGTTTACTCTGTGAACATCTTAAACCATCCAATCTTGAGGGGAATCATGTTGAACCAAGTTTAATTTGCATGTGTGTGGGACTGGGTAAAATCGACACCCAAAACTGGATTTGACTAGATTTGGGTTGGTATATAGTTTCAGATTTCAAATGGTTATAAGTTACAATTAGTATGATGTTCAATGTTTCGGACTATGAATGTCTTTGCAACGAAGCAAGATCTGGAATCAGCCCTGCAGAAAATGGGTATGATTCATGACACGGTTTTTTTTGGTGGTGATTTCCACCGAACACTGGGCGTATTTGGCTATGGCGGCTATGGCTTGTTGGACCCCCCAAAAAAAGATACCCTCTGGCTATTTAACACAGCCATGCAAAATGGCCTATTTATAGATGGTTTACCTATTAAAAATTGTGATTTTCCATGGCTATGTTAAATAGCCAGATGGTAATCCATTTTTGTGGGTCGGTAGTCCATGTTCTCGTTTTCGAGCCCAAACTCGCCAAATCTCGGGACATGGGCCATTTGCATAGGGAATTATGATGAACAAGTGGATGGAATGAGGTTTTCCGATATATTTTTTCAGGTAGCCTCTGGTAATTTAACAGTTTGCTATTGAAAATGACCATTTATTTATAGTGGATTTTCCCGAAAACGGTGATTTTCCATAGTTATGTTAGTTTACCAGAGGGTAGCAAACCCATGTGATGATTGTGCCACAGATTGAATCCGCTCGCTGTTGCAGGTGAAGAATCCGCCGCGGACTGCAGGAGGCGGAAACACATTCCGCCCAAGGGGCTTCTAATTGGGAGATATTTATGCCACTTTCTTTTGGGCAAATCAGTAAAACCTTCGAGATAAGATTGAACATATTGGAATATATTGAAATGGTTCGATGCAGAAGATGCAATTAATCCATATTAATCCAGTCATTTTTGATTTTGCAGTCAACATGCGACCTGCCGTGGCATGACCTTCGACCGGTGGGGGATATGCCCAAATCACCCGAGTTTAACAAACTAAGGGAACAACATGGAAATTGCAAGAAACATCAGAAATGATCATAGATCCACTAGTTACACTAGTTGATGGGATTCCTATATAATGTCCTTTTCTTCAAAAAAAAGATGGGATCATGACCATGATCTATTACTATGGCCATGATCATAAGCCATGATTTTCCCATCATTTTCCGCTAAAAGTTCGGTGAATCCCGCGGGGAAATGTCGAAATGTCGCCTCCAGTCACGGTGATCATGACCATGACGGCCGAGAACGACCAGGGCTACATCGTGGAGAAAGACGAAGAGGACAGGATCCCCTAGGGCCCTAGGAAGTTCCCAAGGAAAAATAACTTCCATTTATAGGGCAGGTCCTATTGCCAATCATTGCCATTTAGGGCTTCAATGACATTTCTAAGGTTCAATCGTGAATTATTGACCTTCACACATGAGCGCGCAATGACTTGAGTGATATATCACATGATGAAGGTTAATATTGGACCCCAAAGTGATGTATAGAGCGCTATTCAATGTTGATCAGTGGGCATCGAACCTGGTTCTTTAATCCTATCTCCATGCTTGTTGCTAAAGCCCTGCAAATGTTCATCACCGATTGGAATACGATGATTGTTTTCCCCTGATGAACCTTTAGTTGTTCATTGTTGATAAGAATATTTTTTTCCAATACGATAAATGTTATTCCATTGTTTTGTATTGGAAGATCCTTTTTGAATCTTCGAGGCATGTCCAATTGTTCTGGCGTTTCACTAGTATGTTTGTCGAAGGTTTTGCCAAGTACGTATTATAACTATAAGGATCCCCAATAGCCCAGTATAAGTCCCTATTTCATCACCAACCAAGAATGGTATTTTGATGTATCTTCTTCATGGTTGGAGCTGAAGTTCCTTCATTTCAGAGTCATCCTTGGGCTCACGAGCCTCAGATCATCAACGAGATGCTGGACACCGATTGGTCGCACTTTCTTCGACTGGCGGGATGCCTCAGCTGGTGATATTTCAGCCATGAATTACACGTTGCTGTAATTTGCCATCACATGAATCACATGGTCTAATATGATCTAATGATATCTAATGGGATTTCATAGGAATTAGCAAAGATCAGGATATATCGAACGTTTTTTTCATGGGGTTGATAAACTAACTGGGAGGCAACACCAGGGATTGGGATGGATGCCATGGAACTTGACCACCTTATTTGGGCTCCAGATATTTACCCGCCATATTAACCCTCTGGTAAACGTTTACAGTTTGCTATTGAAAATGACCATAGAAATAGTGGATTTACCCATTAATAGCATGGTGATGTTCCATAGTTATGTTAAATTACCAGAGGGTTTATTATATGTGTGTTTCAACACTTGAAATGGTGCTTTGGATAGTGGTTTGGATCTCCCTTTTTTCAGGTGCATTGTTGAGGACATATATCAGTTTTAACTGCTCACCACTGGATGATAGCAGCTGCTCTACCTGCAGGGACCCTGAATGGCGCTGTGCTGGAATTGCTGCCCTCTTTGTCGAAGATGATGATGTTCCGATTGAAAATGGAGGCAGAATCTATACCCAGCCATTGTTCTTTGCAGAGATGAGAACATTGTACAACACATATAATCCATTGTATATCATTGTATAATATCCAATGAAATCCATTGTATCCAAAATGAAATTGGGTACAGAGTATTGTTTAAAGTGACTGACGTGTACGTTTCATCGGATTTGGTCATTTTTCATTGAAAGTATGTGTCGCAATCGTCAGTGTGCCCGCAGTGCAGCTTGCATGTTTCAGTTGGAAGAGCTGCATGTTTGAAACATGAGAGACACAATGTAAAACTTTAGGTGCTAATGAAACAATGGCACCAGAACATAACTGTAGTTCATGCGAGTTTAGTTTTTTCCGGGATCCCCGTATCTGGGAGTTCCAATTATTTCAGTGGATACATACATATAGTATTATATACATACACACATAGATTTACAGGAATCATATCGGAACATCCCAAATCTATAGATTTATGAAATCATAGGAATGGAAATCTATCTTGATTTATAGGACATGTTACATCCTCGGATGGAAATCCTATATATCCTATATATATCCTATATATACATAGATTTACATCCCAACATATCCCAACTGATGGAAATCCCCATTTTTCTGCCCCGAGGTCGGCCCAGATCCGGAGGCTTCGATGGGACGAGGTGCGACGAAAAGTGATCGAATTCATCAGATTTTTGAGATGAAACGCTGCCAAGATATCATGGTTTTTGAAATACATTTATATATTATATCATATATATATATCAATATATATATATCAATATATATATATCAATATATATATATATATATCAATATATATATACATATTCATCTTGATGAGATATCATTATATATATATAATACACATATACATATCATGAACCGGATGACGAACCAAAACCCAACAAAAACATCATCCCAAGAGCCACCGGAAACGTTTTTCCACAGCCAGGTTCAGCCGTCGCTATTGGTGTCCAAGAGGTTGCCGAAAAGATCAGCGAGGCGCTGTGATCGGACGGCGATTGTGAACATCCCCTATACGGCCAGGGAGGTTTTTATTGGGAAATCCGATTTTTATATTGGGATTATTGAAAAAATATGTGATTATTATTGGGAAATCCCATAAATCAAAATCCATTATTATTTATAAATGGATGTTTATAGCTGGGAAAATCATGAAACTATATTATATATATGGGATGTTCAAACGTTTGCCATGTTTTTTATTACACCGAAGGGTAACCACCCAAACTTTTTTTCAACGGTTGGAGTACAGCAGAAATGTGAAGGATCGATACTTGATGACAATTGCAAACAAGAACTTGGCTGGTTGAATAGCAACCATTCTGTTGAGGAATTTCCCCTTTGACCTCATAGAGGAGTTGCTTTTTACTACAGTACCAAGAGAATGGGGTCACCCCATAGAAGAAAACCGATGGCTCTCAGATTCACCTCCGTCATCAAACATGGCTGGAAAAATCGCTGTATAGATGATCTTCCCAGCTATAAACACCTCCAGTTTAGGGGATTTCGCAGATTCAACAACTTTGATGACACCGGAGTTAGACATATTTTCAAGTTACCCTCTGGTAAACAGCCACATAACTATGGAAAATCACCATTTTTAATGGGAAAACCCACTACAAATGGCCAATTTCAATAGCTATATGATTGTTAAATTACCAGAGGGTAGACAATCTCCAAGCCGAGTCCGACTCACTTCCCATCGAGGCGCAGGCTCTCTTTGTAGTGCCGCAAGTCGGCAAGACGGGTGAGGCGGGAGATCGTGTTCGAATTCCCCCGAGGTCATTGGATGGTAAAATGCCAGAAATCAACGAGCTAAACGGGGGGGGATTTGACAGCCACGGATTACTGGTGATTGTACCCATAGGATCCATGTATGCCATATATGGTAACATTTGAGGTATATTGATGGTAAATGTTACCATATATGGCATACATGGATCCTATGGGGTAGATAATGTTTCATAATTTCTCCAGGTTTCCTTCCCATCATTTCCTTCTTTTTTTCCAAGTCTGGGCTGGAAAAAAACTGCTGGTGACTCTTGATGAAGATGTCAAGGCCCAACACGACTGGTACCATGTGCTGTTCGTTCTTGGGACAGGAACTTGCTGTGTCCGCAGCCATGGGTGGTGGAAGAAGTTACATCCTCTCCACCATCCATGAGTTGTACCAGGAGAGATCTCCCATGGCCATCATGGGACCCGATGGAAGCTGTGTTCAACACCATCCCGAAAGGGGGGTCAACAATTTTGAGATTTTGAGACATGCCCAAATCAAGGTGCTCATGTTTTTTTTTGGATATGGATGAGCATGGATAAACCCTGGCAGACCAAATCCCACAATGGCCAAGATTTCAGGATAGTTTTCACAGCATGGAGGCACCAAGAGGGGGTTGTTGATCAAGGAAAAAGACAGGTATGTGCGATTTCAATGGATAGAACATGTTCATTTCTGTTGGGTTTAGGTTTTCACGGAGATTAAATGTTCATCACCTTTTAAAAAAATAGCAGCTCAACAAACCATGGGATATCTGAGGCTCTAACCGATGGATTTTATGGATTTTCGACCTTTCATAATTGGTAGCACCCTCTCATTGTTTTTGATTACATCATAGTTGCATCAGTTGCACCCTCACTATATCCCTGTTTACAGTATTTATATTGTTTAATATCCTTGTAAAATCACACTATTTACAGCTTATTACCCATCAGGGTATGGATCAACGTTGTTGATATTGGGGGTTTGTTGCCATTTTGAGGTTTTCCAATGAAGGTAGCAGGATGACGAGTCCTGACTCATGGCTTCTGGCATTCGACCATGGGCCAGTCAGATCGCCGAAGCGATCGAAGGGTGGGAACGGTGGCCAGACCTGTATAGGAAGCTGGTGATTGCCCAAAAGAAAGCTCTAGCAGCTCACCAGAAGCCCAGGAAGCAGTTGCACGGCGTGATGCCAGGCAGACGGCGTATTCCTGTCAGGCTCTGTCTGGCATGGATGGACATTCCTCCAAGTGAAGGGTATAGCCGACTGAAATCGGTCCATGGAGCTTTACGCCGCAGCGTCCTCAAACAGCAAAAACCCAAGCTGTGGGGACCTCTAGACAGAGGTCACACGGAGCTCAAAGACTACATGGCAGACTTCCTCAAGTCACGGGTGATGGACGCCTACACCAGATGCAAGCCCAGCTAGGGGTCATTCACCTGGTGAGTTTCGTGGACTTTTGGCAAGACGAATCAGGACAAGAAAGAAGTGATGATCAACTTTCCAATCCTTTCTGGATCTGCAAACTGGGATGTACGGCGTTGCCCTTTTCGCAACGGAAACCAATTCGCTGATGCCCGGATCAGAAACTATGCCCGGCGAACCTTCACCACTTTCCATTGGCATCGCTTCAGTGGCATCTACATCGTCTCTAATGCGAAACGTGCTGAGCTTGCAGAGAGAGAGAGAGCTACGCGCCGAGCCTTGAAGGACCTACGTGCCCCATTTCCCAAAAGCAAAGAGCCATACTTCTTCAAGGGCACTAACGCTGTGAAGCAGGTGCTGCAAGAGGAGCTCCAACTCAGTACTGAGGAGCTGCTCAGCTCACAGGAAGAAGATCGAAGGCGCGCCAGAAAAGCAAGACAAACAGGAGAAGAAGAGGTGTCTCCAGGCTTCTGACAGAAACTGCCATGCTGCAGCGAATCAAAAAAGTGGCCAAAAGATCTTCAGTTCCTCGCATTTTGACGACATTCGCGGGTTGTTGCGCAACTATACCCCATCTTTGAATTTTTGACCAACAGTTAAGTCGTGCAGGAAGGGCCCCCCAGTTAGAAGTTGGTTTGTGACCAGTTCAAAAAATAGTTCGAATTACCATGCCATCCAATTATATTTATAGATGTGTTTTCTTCACCACAACCCCTAGTTCCATCAGCTATAGCCACCTCGGCTAACGTGGTGTATATAATCATCATAAACCCTAGTTATATCAGCTACCAAAGGTACCCACAGAATCCGTGATTATATAAATCATTAAAAATCACCAGCTCAGCGATCCCCAGGAGGTCAGCAAGTGGCGTTGTGCCGCCATCCTGAAGGGTGCGGCGCCTCTCTCCTCCTCCAGGAAACGCGCAAGGCACCGACTGGCGCAGCGGTGTCAAACATGGTTGGGAAATCCCCAAATTCCAAGGTGCGTATAATGGGAAACTCATGTACATGTATGGGACAATCTTTGTAATCATGGGAAAATCTGTTATATCATGAATCATCATAGTTTTCCCCATTCGTTCATTCATGCATTCATTCATTCATGCATGCATGCCTTTATATATTTTGGTTCATTCACTGCTTCGCTCATTCGTTCACTCAATCATTCAATTCAATTCAAGTCAAGTCAGTTCAATTCAAATCAATTCAATCTTTCATTCATTTTCTGCAATTTATTCATTTCAGACACTTCAATTCTTTCCAGCTCGCCAACAGGTCCTGTAAGCAAACTGGTTCCTATAGTCATATCATGTCCTATTTTTGAAACTTCCGCCCTGGCGCGTGCCGGGCACTACCTGGTATAATATCCAAAAATGTAACAATATTTGTTGATATAGTAAAATATAGTGTTCAAAAGTATGATATATATATATATATATATTTTGTGTTTATTTAAAATAATAGTTCAATTTTGTATATATATATATATTTATATTTATATATATGTAATGTAGCATCATTTAAATCAATATAACATAGTATATTGTGATATAATGTAGTATAAAATATAATTTAGTTTCATAGAATTAAATGTAGCTTAATATAGTATAATTGATTTTTGTTAACATAATATAATGTAATAAAATTTAATATGATACAGTAAAATATAATATATTTTTATCCGATACAATAAGATAAAATATAATATAATATTTTTAATATTATATTACATTTTATTTTAATATAATATGTCATATTATGTTTTATTGTGCTATATTTTATTTTATTTTATTATATCATATTATATTTTTTTGGTTTGCAATGCAATGTAACGTGATGTAATGTAATGTAATTATATGTATATATATATATGTATATTTATTTATTTATCCAAGGAAACGACCCTGCGGTAAGCGGTAATCAAACATGGGTTGTTGGAAAATCTCCTATTTATAGATTATTTTCCACCAAAACCTCTATTTATAGGGAATTTTCCGGCCACATTTGATTACCAGAGGGTAGTTCTTGATGAAAGTAGTTGGTGCCAGATGAGAACTGGCTGTTTGTCTCATTTTGGTGGTTTAAATCTTGAAGAATTCTCGATCAACTCCCCATGAATGTTGCAGTATATTGCCATTCTTGCTGTAGATCGTTGGACCATGTTGGACCGTCGAACAAAATCATTCCTACAATATCTCAAAGCCATATTGGCTACATAGATGTCCTTTTCCCATTGGTTGGTTGATTAATAGAGGGGTTTGAAGAAACCCCTTTAACAACAGGTTTCTATGATGATAGATGGGATTAACCAGCTCCCGGCCCCTCTATTTTTACCAAAAGGACATTATTGATTGGCTATAGATAACAACTCTGGTGCAGCTGGTTCTTGAACCCCCGATTGGTATGGAAAATGGTATCTGTTGACCCTCAAATAACTGCTGGGGTGTGCTAACCCATCCCCAAAACATTCTGGATGTCCATGGATCAAAACATGTCTCCGGTTACAAAGGACCCACAAATCCCACCTGCTTGTGGCAGTGCGTTGTTTGTTGATGTTTTGCCCTTTGGAGGTTTCAGCCACTTAGAAACAATATCATATGTGCATTTATTCTTCAGTTATATGGGGTTTTCTATGTTTTCTTAAACTGGGGGATCTCCAAGTCACCATGGGTTTCAATATCAACATGTCTTCAAAATTGGATGACTTGCGGTAACCCGGCAACGGAAACCTCTGGACCTGTTGATCTGCAGGAAAGATGAGCCCAAGGCGCTGCTGGAAAGGTTTGAACATGAGCCGGTGGACTATTGAATCATTACCCTCTGGTAAACAGCCACATAACGAACTGGAAAATCACCATGTTTTTTTGATGGGTAAATCCACTAAAAATGGCAATTTTCAATAGCAAACTGTTAGTTTACCAGAGGGTATTTCAGATCTTTGAAACCGTTGGATGTTTGTATTCCAGTGATTTGTGGTGAATGTGATCACTTGTATCACTTCATATCGTTTGTGGCCCAAAACCTCGATATCCAGATGGGTATTTATATGTATTTATTCAATGGGAATTCCAGGATCCTAAAATGGAGGTACTGTACCATATAAGGCCATATTTTGGGGGGATATCCCCTTACATAGGCCTTATATATGGTAGGTACCTCCAATTTAGGATCCTGGAATGGCCATTGATTTATACACATCTCAAAATACATAAGATTCCCTGATTCATCTCTATTCCCTGCCGTTTTTTGGGGGACACGAAATCGCGGCCGTTGACAGCCTCAGCCACATGAAAAGGAAGCCACCGAGAAGGATCACCAAGTGAAGGACGCAGGGATATGCCGGATATTTGGGATATCATACAACCCATAAAACACATACCCTCTGGTAACAGTTAGCTATTGAAAATGGCCCATAAAGATGGTGATTTGGGGAAACAACAAATTGTACCATTTGGAATAATGGATACTTTTCTAAAACACATATTTGGGGTGTCCTAAAGATCAGGTGTGGTGAGAGTTGAACCATCATTTTTCATCCCACTGAGATGTTGTCCATTCCCTAAACGTCTTGGGATGTGTGCACCAGGCAAGTGTCGCATAAACCTGCCAAAAGGCAGATCTCAAAAACCATGCAGAATCACCCTCATGGCTCTGATTTTTCATCCCAACATTTTCCGAAACCTACCGCCAATGATGGTTGTTTCCCCATGATTTCTCCTTGATTTTCCAGTTCTACTCCCTCCAAAAACTCAAGCCCCAAGACTTGGAGGAGATGCAGCTGCTTCCCAAAGCAATCATCTACCTCGGATCCGAAGAAGGCTTGAAGGATGAGAACGCCATTCCGCAGTTCACCAAACAAGTGGGCAGGCTGGGCAGCGTGACAAATATATGGGGAAACCAAGGGAAACTGAGATAAATTTCGGGATGTATTCATTTGCAAGGCGAATGTTAGTTACATGGGCAGATATGATTTCTATGGGCTGACAGCCACCTAGAAATGCGACCAAAGTTTGGTGCTGCACCGGAGGTTTCTCCTGACCCTTGGTGCTGAAGTGGTTTTCAAGACGCTGACGGATGCCTTCAGTAAGTTGGAAGGCCGTGTTGCCTATAGAAAGGCCCATCTTGAGGGGGGTTTGGAGTTGAAGGACTTGGATGCTGATCCATCAGATCGATCTAGTGAGATTGGAGGGGACAGTTTTGCATCACTTCTTTCCAGATCAGATGGACCAAAACCTGATTTTTCCAGATCTTTCCAGATTGTCACCAGATTTTTTTCGGTGTTGCTACATGCCACACCTGTTTCCACGTCATGTTTCCGCGTCATGTCGCCCAGTCCCTGGTCTACATGGCGCACGAACTCTTCACCAAGCGAAAAAGACACATCACCTTTGAGGCGGCCGGGATCAGAATGCTGGCTGTCAAGATGTTTGCACGGTTGGGGCTTGTTATACCGATGTACATATGAATATATCATCATATATATATATATATATATATATGTACCTGTATTTTGTTTTGTTCTTTTTCCCCCGAATGATCTGGACAATCGGATGATATGCAATGATATCTACATGTTGGATCATCATCATCATCATCATCATCAGCATCAGCATCAGCATCAGCATCAGCATCAGCATCATTTCAGCATCATTTCATCATCATTTCAGCATCATTTCATCATCATTTCAGCATCATTTCAGCATTATTTCAGCATCATTTCATCATCATTTCATCATCATTTCAGCATCATTTCAGCATGTATACCTGCCACTTTTCCAAAATCAAACATCATCAAACATTCCATCTCTCAGACTTTTCCATCCCCATCCCAGGATAAGAAGCAATGCGTGGAAAAGTTCCTGCTTCCCATTGGCCCCGACATTCGAGCAATGAGGGCCAAAGAACGGGAGGCCTACTGCCTTCTGGTCGGCTTCTGGGGAAAACATCAGGCCTGGCGGCCTGGGCGATTGGGCGATTTGTTCTTGGAGATTTCTAGGGAGTTTGAAAGTCATCCCACCAGGCCTGGGTGGCTTTAAACTTGGAGACCCAAGCTATGACCAGCAAGCGGCTTACAATTTCCAACCATATTTTTCGAAGAACAGACATTTCCATAACGGCTTCCCCTGAAAAATCCATGAATTTTGTGTGTCCTTTGATGCCTTGACAGGTGGTATCTCCAACAGACTTGAAGCGTATCAAAGATGCCTGGGACGTGGATGAAGAGGGCGACTTTGATGAGTTCGAAGAGGATCTGTGAGGTAAATCTCCTCTGCCGTCATGCTGCGAGAAAAAAGCCGATGTCCACCAGACTGCCAGATGATGTCAGATGTATGGGTCAGGATTGTCAAGATTTGATGTGAAGAATGGCCTTTTCCCTCCGGTGTCCTCAAAGAATCTCAAAGATGGCTGGGAAATCGCCGAACTAAGTCAGGATGGAGATTTCTAGCAAAATCATCATCAAATTGAGGATTTTCCAGCAAGTCATGTTTGATTACTGGGTAGTCAGGCCCCGAAGGTGTTGATCACAGCCATGGCAGCCATGGCTGTAGGCATGGCCATCTTGGTTCATGATTATATGGGGTTGTACTATACCTACATTGGAAATGTTCATCCAACATGAGAATATAATAGAATATATGTTAATCAAACTATTAAACTACCTGAGGAGTCTAATATATAATCCAATATATTGGGAATATGAATCCATTGTCAACTGTCAAGCTGCCTGAGACTTCCAGGAGATGAGGGAACATAAAGAGAGCATAGAGGAGGCTGCTGTGTTGGGCTGCCAAAGTGAGAAGTGGTCACTTCAGATGTCTACCCCCCGACAATCAAACAGAATAGCAATTGGAAATCCTCCATTTATAGAACTTCATAAAGGATTTTCCCAGCGAACTAAACCTCCATCTATAGGTGATTGAAACCATTGCCATGAAACAATTACCAGAGGATATTGAGAGTTGCCTCAGTCTCAGTTGAGACTGGAACAGTTTCTTCTATTTACCCTCTGGTTATTTAACATAGCCATGGTATAGATGGCCCATAGAAATAGATGGTTTACGGTTTACCTATTAAAAATGGTGATTTTCCATGGCTATCTTGAGGATTTTGGTCGGTGACCCATCGTGATTTTATCGGAATATGGAAGCCCAAGAAATGAGGATCCCATTAGATTCAAGGGACTGATTTTTTGGGATAAGACTGGCGAATTTTGACATTTCTGGAGATATTCAATATGAATAGAGGTAATATCATATTTCTAAATAGAGGAAATATGAATTTCTAAAGATATTCAATATGATAGTTTTTTTTTTTTTTAATAGAGGTACCCCCAGTCATCACCCATGTTAATTTTTTGGATTTTCCCTTACAATTCATCCAGCTATTCTAAAGGGTAGCCCATGTATGGAACCCCACATATCAGCATATATCAACACAGATCAGTTAGATTCGACCGGTTCTCAATAAATGATTTAAGACCTCCACTTTTTTCGCTTCAACCGCCTCCAGCTTTGGCCAGACTTTGGACGGACGTGAGGCGTGGTGGTTTTGAGGATCAGGGGTTGAAATTGGCTGGAAAAAGTGGGATAGTTTCATAGCTTCAATGCATTTTAGTACCACAATTTCTGATCAGCACATAAGAAAAACAAATTCCGGAGCAACAACTTTGGGTCAGCAGAAAATTGAGAGTTTTTCTGAGCTCTTGACCGATTTTCGAAGGAGGGGTGGCACTTTTTTCAAGAGGAAGCAGATTTTTTAAAGGCATGCGCCGCGACAATAGTGTTTTGACTTCTTCGATCAATGCAAAAAAGCCTCACTCTGTGAACAAATCCGAACTGTTTTTTGCTAGTCATCCCTTTCCTTTGTCCTAGAGATGAATTGGCCTTCCAATGAACACCATAAACTACAGACATTGCTGGCAGTTTCAAGTCCCCAGAACTCGCGTATCATTTTGGGCGTCCCCATTTCACTGCAGCTTGGGATATGATTCAAAAAGGCGGCTAAAGGGCTAAAGGAAGAGAAACTCCATCCGCCAAACATCGGATGTGTCAGATTTTTGGGAGAAAAGGAGAGCATGATTTCATATGATTTCATATGATTTCATGATCTTTGCGGGCAAAAACTCAACAAATTGGTTGACTACATGAATTACATGAATATAATTACATCATTTTCCCCCTGAGCATGGCAGCGAATTACCAGAAGCCCAAATGTTGCCATTGCAGGCTGTCTACCGAAGCAGGTGTCCCTGGCTTTGGGTTGCTCTCTGAGATGGGAAAACCATGGAAAACCAATCAGAACCCACCCAATTTTCCAAAAAATGGTTAGAATAAACCCATCTATAAACCCATATATAAACCTTTCCCAATTCCACTTTTATCCTTGGGCTGACGGCATTACACAAATGTTTGACAATATTTGACAATATTTGATGATAGTTGATAATCGTTGATGATATTTGATGATGTTTGGTAGTTGTAGATATGGAGGTTTCCTAAAATGGGCGTAGCCCAAATTTCATCATCCAAACAATCCACATCCCAAAACTGGAGAAAGAGAGAGAGAGAGATATATATATAGTTTATAAATGTTTATAATGTAAATATGTCATATGTATACTTCTCCATTGACTTCTTATGTTACTGACTTGTAGATTATTCTCACATTATTAGCTTCACATACTTCAAATATGACTGCAGTAGACTTGTATTCAATTACTTCAATACTTATTGACTTTTCCATATATGACTTCTCCATGATTATTGTTTGGACTGTCACCAGCGTTGAAGAATTATCCTAAGACCTGGGAGTTGAACACCTGAGTAACCTGAGTCACCCGCAGCTGAGTTCGGGCTCGGGCGGCCCGACACCACCGCGACCAGGAAACGCGACCAGGGATTCCGAAACGTTTCCGCCATGGAAAAACTCCAGGAGCAGTTTGACTCGGATTCCGAATCAGGATCCAACTCAGCCTCGGGCTCCTGCTCGAAAGCAAAAGCTTTACCCAGTTTTTGGGAGGCAGGAGCCCCTGGCTGTTCAAACATCGGCACTTGGATAGCTTGGGATGCCCTAGGTTGAGACATAGCCAAAGCGGCCAAACATGCTGGAAGCGGGATATAATCAATGGGAGATCTCCAGGATCCTGAAATGGAGGTACGTTAGTACCATATAAGGCCATATTTTGGGGGGATATCCCCTTACATAGCCCTAAAAAATAGGCCAAAAATATATGGTAGGTACCTCCATTTTAGGATCCTGAAATTCCCATTGATATAATGGGATATATCATGATATATCTCCAGTTTCGGAAGGGGATTCGTCTCGAGAATCGATCTAAAACACTCCCCATGTCCGGTTGCATCCCCAGTTCGATGGTGATATCCCTGCCGTGTTGGCAGATTTTCTGAGTTGAAACTTCCCCCGTTCGAGCTCTGCTAGCACCGTTCCTGGTCAAGTCCCTATGCCAGTGAAAAGAAATCAGAATTTTAAATAAGGACACATAGTGATTTAGTGATTTAAAACCATCACAATATTTAAAAGTCACTATTTTGAAAATCCCTATTTGTAGGTTCAAAACTATCCCAAACAATCAAAACTATCCTTTTGATTTAATCTTCATCCATATTTTTACCCTTTCAGCTCAGAATTTCCCAAGTTTTGAGGACACAAATCCAATATTTGTTGGTTCAATCTCAAGCTTTGCTCCTGAAATCCAGTTTTTTCTGGTAGCATCACCATCCTGCTGCCTTAGTCAATTTCTTCCTCTTGTTCATCCTGATTTCTGTGTTTTTTTTTTGAATTGTATAAATCCATCAAATGGTCAAAAAAACCTGATAGTCAGTTTTTCACATGGCTTTGCCTGAACATGTTATACCTGGAGTATCCTCCCAATTTGTTTAAAAACAGGTTCATCAGTTTGTCCTCTGAAAATTGCCCAGAAATTGCCAGTCTCACCTCCCAAAGCTGGACCTCAGCCATCCAGGCGTATCGTCTCCTTGGGCAGTGCTATGAGGCCGAACATGCCCGACCTGTGACTCCTGTGGCGCCTTCGGTGTCTCGGTGGGTCCAAAAAAAAACCATGGGATTTTACGTATGATTTGAACCCAGCAAGGGGGATTGGACGTAGAAAAGAATACATACTTTACTTCATGTGATCCCCACCGTTGTACATATCCTGATATTATATATATATATATATATATTATAGATATATATTCTTACATTCTATCTGACAGACATCTTCTCGGACATTCTATCTGACGTATCATACCGGACATTCTATCTGTCGTTGTACCTGGCATCATACCCGACATTCTATCTGATATTCTGACATACAGTACTATTTTACATCTTCTCTGACATCCTATCTGACGTTGTGCCTGGCATCATACCCGACACTCTCTCGGATATTCTGACCTACTAACATCTTCTCTGCTTCTCTGACATTTGACATTCTATGTGACGCTGTACCTGGCATCATACTCGACATTTTCTTTGATATTTTCTGACATACTATTTGACATCTTCTCTGACATTCTATTTGACGTTGTGCTTGGCATCATACCTGACATTCTATAGTCAGGCCCCAGACAGTCTGGCAAAATGTTCACAAGTGGATTTAGCTAAGTCGGCTAAGTGATCCTGCTTTCTCGTGGGGTTTTGCAAAAAGGATCTTTGGATGATGGTTTCTTTACCCTCTGGTAAACTAACATAACTATGGAAAATCACCATTTTTAATGGGAAAATCCACTATAAATGGTCATGTTCAATAGCTACGTTAAATTACCAGAGGGTATTTTTTTCAAACAGGTGTTCAAACAGGGGCGGAGCCGAGCTGGCAAGAGTTGAGTTCACACATGTTCTCACTGTAACTTCAGCAAGGCGCGCCTGCAGGAATTCATATGTTGTTTTCTTGCGTGCTTCACATTGCAAATTCTCCACGCAACAGTCGCAAACGAAAACAGCATTGGGTTTTAGTTTGTTGAAAGGAAATGCGGCGTGCATGAATGTTTGAAGAATTGCCTCAAAATCCATGCTGTTGTTTCCAGGCAACTTTTTTGCCAGAGACAATGCATCAAAAATAATTCTTCAGGACCCATGAGTTCGCGCTATATATTGCACACAGATTCAACATTTTTTTCTTCACATAGACCTCGCAAAAACAAAACATATCCAGAAACTCTTCACCGCAGACAGCTCCGTTCAACCCTTTATATTTCCATGTTTTTCCCCAAGCAGTGTGGTCACAGTTGGGCT